TGGGCTGCTCAGGCCCCTAGCCGGGCGCTCCCTCGCCACCGGCCCCGCTCCGGGCCTCTAGGGAACTGAGACGGTCTCTTCTTCGCCTGGACGGCGCCGGGGAGCGGAGGATCTGCGCACCGGGTCTCCAGGATGTGCCCGTCTGAGATGGGGACGCTGTGGCACCACTGGTCGCCTGTGCTCATCAGCCTGGCCGCCCTGTTCTCCAAAGGTGAGGACGCCGCGGCCGCCCCGCGGCCCGGAAACTAACTTCGCCTGGAGTGAGTGTGTGGGAGTGTGTGGAGGATGGGGGCGGCCGGGAGAGAGGGCTCGTGTGCGTGTGTGTGTGTGTGCGCGCGTGGGAACGTGCGCTCCTGCAGCAGCCAAGCTCCTCAGACGCCCCTTGGCCGAAGGTGCTTGGCCTGGAGCTCTTGGGTGGGAGGCCGTAGGTGAGACTGCTAAGGAGCCGAAAGGAAAGGAAGGCCGTTTCCTGAAAGCCTTTTCTGTAAAGGGAGGGGGCGGGAGGACTGTTGAGAGGAAAGGTGGCCTCTGGAGGGCTCAGCCGGCTGTCGGGGGAGGGGATTGAGATGACCAGGAAGATTTCTGGCACTTGAGATTGACTTTCCCTGGTGGCACTGACCTATTTGGAAATAATTTTGGAGCACTCCTGTTGTATGGGAATACTATTTCGTGTATTATAAGCTGCCAAAAATATAGCCTGGGGGTAGCTCTGAAGAAGGGGGCTGGGTTTCTCCAGGTCTGCCGCTGTGGAGGTTTGGGCACAGGGTCTGGCTGTCACCCTTCTGTAGGGTGCTGGGAGCAGCGGCCCCGCAGGGTGCACGTGGAGTTTCAGCTACAAGTTGTGACCCGAGTTATCCCAGCGGGGCCCTGACTTGAAGCCCTGTGTCAAGGCAGGAATTCTTCAGTGCTGCCTCTTCTCTTCTGCCAGCATCCCTGTCTGTCATGGGAAGAGCAAGTTTGGAAGCTCTGGACAGTCATTCTAACTTGAAGAGAAATGGTGTGATTTGTGCGGGCGATTCTTTCTCATGATTGACCTGGGCTGTTCGTGTGTGGTTCCCCCACCCGGTGCCCCTTTCCTGCAGATAAACACACGGGGAGGAGAGTGAAGCGTCTCGGCTCTCTCTACGTGCTGCAAGAACACTGTACCCATATTTTTCTGCGAAGATTTTTGAGATGAGATCGCTCTCAGAAACTTCAAAGCCAATTGTCATGCACAAAGTCTTTTAATTACATGAATTGTCTGTTTTCTGAGTTCCTCCAGAATCACTGAGGTTATGTTGCTTTGGATCTGATAATAGATGAAGACAGTTCAAATGCTGAGTTTCTGTGCTGGTTCGATTTAGAAAGAGGAATTTACGTTCACCCTACTTCCCTGTCTTTGAAGTGTGGTTGAGATGGGCTCCTGTTTCCTAATTATGAGTGAGAACAGTCCCTGGGATCAGAGCTTTCTGGATTTATAATGTGCACAGGAAACCAAAGAAAAGGTTGATGAATTCAATGAACCTGACTCAGGCAGACGTGAGATTAAAAAAACCAAAATCCACAGCAACAACAGCCCAGCATTTTTTATTTTTTTTTGGTTGGTTCTCACTTGGTTTTATAATAGATCTAGACTCCTTTGTGTTTATGCTGCAATAACAAGGTTGTATTAAGAAAGGTACAGAATAGCTTTGGAAATAAGACCTCACTATTGTGTTTTTTCACTTAGGTACATAGGTCTGTTACTGATTTCTTTATCAGACTGAGCAGTGTTGAAGACAATTGTATTTCCCCTGATACTTGTGAACTTTTTCAACTGGGAACACTGAACATGTCCTTAAATGAGGTACTCTGTGGTGTGGAAGCCTCTTTACTAGGTGGCCAAAAATTAACATGTAAAATGTTATGATAAGCTTAGCATATGACATATTTTGTGTGTTGAACTTAAGTCAGCCAGACAGTTCAAAAGTGAATCGGTTCTGTGTGGAGACTTTGGAAGCAATTAGCAGAGTCTGAGCACATGGTAGATGATTCAGGATTAGTCACAATATGTCAAAGAACAAGAAAAAAAATTAACACCCCATTAGCAAATTGTGTAAAATGGAATTTCATGATGCAGATATGATTTATAAATTCAGGGACAGGCCCATTCTTTTCCCAGTGTATTCATATCACCTCCCTCTAAGATTCTCTGATCACTTGAAAGTTGTCACCAGCTTGCAATCAAGTATGGACTGTATTTAAAAGGATTTTAATTGGAAGTAAACCCACAAACACACACACACACACACACACACACACACCCCAAAGTGCCTCATTTGTGTGGGCTGATTGAAAAAGAATATTATCAAGTATTAAATACCTGTTTCCACATAGTATCATTCTTACTTTATTGTCTTTCCAAATGGGAATTTTTGAATGAAACAAAATGCAGATTTTAATACCAGGTTGATATGCTCGAGCCTGACACATTTATATTTCATGAACAGAAAATGATTAGTCATAGAACAAACCCACCGTCTTGTAGATATTTTTTTAAAAACAAATAAAAATAAGATTTTGTTGCTTGTACTTCTATGCCCCTAGGACCTAGAAAGTGTGGTATGACACGCAAAGTTTCCCCAGTAGCCTTGTCCTATGGCCCCTAACTTTTCTGGAGAATGGCCTTAAATGTTTAAGGTCTGGCTTTGCTGGTACCTTGATGTAGTTTGCAGTGGTGCCAGCCTGCGGATGAGTTTTAATGCATTACTGTGAACTTTGTGGGAGGGGGCAGGTGTATGCAGGGTGGGCTGAGAAGAAAAATTAGTGAGGAGATTAGAGATGGGCAGAGGGCAAGGTGATTTTTAAATACAAAGTCAAGAGGGTTGCCACATTTAGGTTGCTTGTTACAATCCTCACGTGCATCCTTCCCAGTTATGTTCCCTTGCACATGCTGGTAAGAAAGAAGCAGAGGCTGAGAGACGTGCGATTGCGAGCGGGGCTGTGGCACTGTCGTGGTCCCTGTGCCTATGGCGGTGCTGGGCACGTGCTCTGCCTGCTTCCAGCTGAGCGTGGCCAATGGCCTGGGCAGTGGGCTTCTTGGAGCGCCTTCCTGAAGCTGCTTCTATGTGTAGAGCTTCTAGCCTCTAATAATATGCTGAAACGGATGTTTAATACTTGGTAATATTGTTTTTCAATCAGCCCCAGACAGTTCAGGCACTTTGCGTTTTGTATGTGTGTGGTGTGTTTGTGTGTTTACTTCCAATTAAAATCCTGTTAAATATAGTTCATATTTGATTTCCAACTGGGTGACAACTTTCAAGGGATCAGAGAATCTTAGAGGAGAGGTGATATGAATATATTGGGACATGAACTGAACTGTCCCTCAGCTTATAAATCGTATCTGCATCAGGAAATTCCATTTGACACAATTTGATGACACTGAGGTGCTAACTGGGTCAGAGTGAAGCTTCTGGGTAGGAGAGTACCACCCCTTATTTAAGGAAGCTGTGGACCAAAAAGAGCTTCAAAATATAGTGATAACTTCTTTAGGGGTCAAGGACTTTTTGGGAGAAGAAAGAACGTCAGAAGGGAGCCAGTTATGGGGAAGAGAGTGACTTTTTGCTTACATTCAAATTCTGTCAGATTAAAAGGACAAAGAATGAAGAGACCACTAAGTTTTGTTTCGTATGAATTAAAGAGTTAAAATATGATTTTATTAAAAATACTTATGTGCATAGAAAGGTAGAATTCCAAGTTTGAGGATCTGTTTAACTTAGTTATATTCTAAGAGCCAAGAAAAAATGAGTAAACAACAAAAATTTCAAAAATATTTTATTATAGAGGCTGTGCTATACAATATTTAGAATTTATCTATCAATTTTTCTGTTACTCCAGGCGTTATCCATCTTCCCACCCATGCATTCACCCATCATTCCATCCGCCCATACATCCACCAGTCCATCCATTCATATCCATCCATCCATCCATCCATCATCCACCCGTCTATCTGTCCATCCACCAGTCCATCCATCCATATCCATCCATCCATCCATCCATCATCCACCCATCTGTCTGTTCATCCACCAGTCCATCCATTCATATCCATCCATCCATCCATCCATCATCCACCCATCTATCCACCAGTCCATCCATCCATCCATCCATGCATGCATCCATCCATCCATCCATTCATCCATCATCCATCCATCTGTCCATCCATGCATGCATGCATGCATGCATCCATCCATCCATCCATTATCCATCCATCCATCCATCCCTCCATCCTTCCATCCATCCTTCCATCCATCTGTCCATCCATCCATCCAATCATCATTCCATCCTTCTATCCACCCATCCTTCCATCTATCCATCTATCATTTCACCCATCCATTCATCATTCCATCCATCTGTGTATTCATTCAACAAATATCAAAGGCCACATGCCTTCAGTGAACACAGAGCTCAGCAGGAACTATTTCCAAGTGCTGTGAGGACACAGGGCAGGTACTAAAGTGTCCTTAGGTAGGGATGTTTAGTGCCAGTCATTCTTCTAGATGTCAAAGTGCCTCACACCATCGCTCCGTTGCTTTAAATTGTAAACTGAAACCTGGGCAGTTGCATATTCATCAGTCCCCTCTTTCTTCGTTCCCTCCTCTTTCCTATTTCATAACTGTAACTGCCTTCTGAGCACCAATGATGTACCCCATACCGTGCTGGGCACAGGGAGTACCGTAGTAAGGAAAAGCCCAGGTTGATATGGTTACTGTTCCCAGAGAACTTGCCATTTATAGGAGAGAGAGGGGCACGTGTGAATTACACAGAAAAACGTGAAGTTAGCACTGTGGGTGTGCTGTGGAGGATGGGGCGAGTGTCTCTGGATCTAGATACTTTGGCAGTTGACGTAGAGTAGCTGGGAAGACTCCCCTTGTCCGAAGGATAGGCTGGCATTACCGGGTGGACTGGGAAGAGTCAGGACTACCCAGGTGATCCACATAATCTCCCATCTTGAGTCCAACAAGAGACTGGGACACTCGGGACTCATGAGGACAGTGTGGCCAGGAAGGTTGGGGAGAGAGCCCTGTGGATTTCGGGACTGTGTGAAGGGAGAGGAGAGAAAGTGCTGGGTAGAGCCAGGGTGGGCAGAGGTCAGCACCCTCTTTCACTCCCAAAATTCTCCAGGTGGATGACAGATCCCACAGTCACTGTTTCATAGGCCATGTTGAGGCAGTTTGTCATTCTTTAAAGGTTGAA